CCTTCTGAGCAAATTTAAATTTTATCTTTTGTCACCACCTGGTGGTAGACCGTTTTCTCACTTTTTTCCTCCACTTTAAGTTCTTTTTTTGTTTCTTGCTATGGGAAATCTCTAAACCAAGAAAACGAGTTAACTTTAGCAAGTATAAAACTTTTAGCATTGATAATCAAGCATTAATGCATACTCAGCATACAGTAGGCACTTAAATGTCTGTTTAATAAATGAGGTTTTATTTCATGGATAGCAATGTCTATGATCTTTTTATTTGAATTGCATAAAGCTCTCAAATGTGGCCATGAAAGTGACCCACAGTATTATCAGAGTTATTTTTCCTTTTTTAAAGTTTGATTTTTTAAATTTTTGGTTTAAGCTAACAGAGCTACATGATTTAAAAAGTGGCTAGCGAAGGCATTTTATTATTTTAAGAATGTAAATGCACTTAAAGTTATGTTTAAAAGGTATTTTCTGTGATACCAAAGGTGAAAGAAAATTTGATAAAATTGTATTAACTGAAATTGAAACGATATGACTGACATTGTAACTTCATGACTCCTGATATTAAGAAAAACTGAGTTGTACACCATTTGCTGTAGACCATCGCCACCTCGTGGGCTGAATGAGGTACTAAAAGCTGTGAATCTTTTAAGGTGGAACTGTTATTGCCAGAAAGTTCCTATTTAGAATTTAAATTAAATTGAACCTTTGGAAACAACAGCAGTAATGAGTCTGACAGCATTCATAACCAACCACACAATTAGATAGTTAAAATGCCAAAAAGGCATTTGATTAAACATTATGAGTCACAGTCATTTCTAAGCCCCCAACTTGGTTTGTCTAAAGACAACTCCCCTGACGCATAATTCAATATCCGCGAAACAAGGAAAGTGGTTGCACAAATTACACTTTTCTCAGTTATAGCAAGTGCTTGATTTGAGGATCATAGCCATTTGTAGTCCAAATACAATTTACATGCATTTTTCTGTTTTCAATATTGTTATATTTCTGAGTATACAGCGTGCTTAAAGTAAATGTTTGGTATCTATTTTCTCATTTATGATCAAATGAAATGTCCATTTTGTTCAATCTTACTTTAGACCATCTGTTCCCAGAAGAATCACTAAACAGCTTTCCCATTTCTAATTGGTAAATCCTCTGGTATGAAAATATGAATTCGTAGCATCACATGTTTAAAAGAAATATGTACATTAATCATTTCTGTAGACAATATTTTCACTAAAACAATGCTAATAGTGCGTGTACCTCATTTTGTGGTTACTTGTTGAATACTTAATTTGATATAGACTTCTTAGGAATTATGAGTAGAGTATCGTGTCTTACTATATGAAACACATGCAAACACAGAAGATGTAGGTGAGCATTAATACTTGTTTCTCTTACTTGAAAATGCTCAAAACTTACAAGAAATGCTCCATTTCTCTGTCAATAGAGGACAAGAATGCTTGTAAAAGTTCAAACTGTTCATTGTAAGAATATTTTTATCAAATATTTTAACTTTGGAAGGCAGCTATACTCACCACTATACCACCAACGCCGCACTAAATATTTTAACTTTGGTTAGCTCCTCTCTACAAATAATAAAAACTGTTTAAGGTCTGTAAAGTAAAACATATCTAAGTTTATGTTTGTAGAAGTGCATATCTATAATAATAAGAGCGTAATATGCTAATTAGACTGGACAGCTGAATGACCTTCCGGATGTCCTTCGGAAGTCCTTACAGATGACCTTCTAGACAAAGCCAGGACGGACTGCGAGGGCAGAGGCAAGCCACCTTGGCTGAGAGGGTGGAGCCTCTTGCACGAATTTCATGCATTGTGCCTCTAGTGTATTCTATAAAAAGAAAGCCAGAAGTATGGTAGGGCTTAGGACAATGTGTGATCTTTTCAGTGCTCATTCAAATTAAGGAGCAAATATATTTTATAAGGGGAGAGTGAGAAACTTACTTACAAAGACTCAATATTACATGTCATTTTTACTAGTGTCATGTACACATTTTACTTCTGTTGGTCTTGTTTCCACAGTAAAAATTTTTTTTCACATCACAATTTTGTTAAACATACCCACGTGTTATATGTATATGTTTATGTAATACCACGAACGCCCAAAGAGTGCTGTTTTTTTTTTTAAAAAAAGTTAGTAGATTAAATGTTCTTCTGCATATGGATGGAGTTTTTCAAGCTTAGTAATTGGCAATTCCTACATCCATGCCTCTGTTGAAGCGATTAAAAAGAACCATTTCCCAGAACTACAGGTGCAGGACAGATTGGAGTCATTATGCAAAAGAACAGAAATCTGGAGAGAAACCTAGTGAATAAAAAAGCCATGTTCCTGGCCATCCGTTTGCCTTTAACTCTCTGTTTTGTTTTTGTTTTTCAGCTCTATTTGAATATATAACATGAAATATGCAAAAATTACAATACATTTGAAATAAACCACCCAGGGTTAGAGATCTATGCCTTGAATTAAACAAACTTCCGGTAAGAATCCACTGAGGGTGGAAATGAACTAAAGGCCAAGCTTGCATTCATATATTTTAAAAGCTAAAGTTTATGTAAGGGAGGTGGCAGTTTGGAATACATTTCACGGGTTGCTGGCCTTCTGAATTTCCCATCATGTCCCAATTCAAGGAACTCACATTTTACCCTTAGTCCTCTGTTAAGTCTCTAGGCCCCTGGACCACCTCAAGCATTTGAAATCTCCATTGCAAAGCCACTCTGAGGTCCCAGTGTTACATAGTTTTCAGAGCGCTACTCTAAAGCAAGAGGTTTGAAAGTGTATTGATGGCTTTGCCGTCTTTCTTTCATCATCCATCCTGTTCAGTATCTTCTTGTAAGTGTAAAGTGACTTTTCCTGAAATGTTCTCCCAAGTATCTAACACTTCTTCTAGCTGGAAAGAACATATGAAATGAGATCATTTTTTTAAAATGGGATGTTAAAAACCTGTAAGAGACTAGAGGGGGTGGCATGCAAAACAACCTCTGGAAACTAAACTGACAAGTGGGGATGTTTGGGAAATGACACTTGAGAGAGGAGTCCATCTCTTCCCTCAAAGATGGACAGAAACAGTCAGGCTTAGACAATGTGGAAATGAATGGGCTACTCGTGGGTGTGTGTCTGTCAATATCAGATTTGAAGGAGAAATGGAAGGGGTGAGAGAGGGCAGTGAAGGAGAGACTGGGTGGAAGGAGGTAGGCGGAAACAGTGGCCAAATGTTGGATGGTGTGAGAAAGGAAGAGCAAAGAAAAAAAGGGTAGTGACTGAGATGCCTTGAGCTGCTGTTAAAACACATGTCATTCCTGCGTTGATCTTTCCGCAGGTAATTATGACAGGGACCTCAGAAAAAAGAAAACTACATTGAAGAACCCGTGCATTCATTCCTAAATGTGTGGGGACCAGGGAATGCTGTTACACTTTTCCCAGAGCGAAGCGTGTTTGCTTCTCGGTGCCACTCATTCTCAGTTGAACTTGCTGAAGAGTGGAGAGCAACATTTTGGATCTGATTGTCCAAGTAGGCAACCTAGAACTCTCCGAGGAAAAGGCGACATGGAAAGTATTCTGAAAGCAAAAAATTGGAAGAGGGGTGCGTTGGAGGAATGAAGGGGATGCCTCCTGCTGGGGACAGAATGAGGTTGGCAAGACCTGCGGAGGAGTGCGGGCGTGGGCCCAAGGGCCCAGATGAAACTTGGAAACTGCGAGGTGGGGGTGGGGGCGGAGGGGGCGGTGGGGCGGGAGGCCCTGGAAGCCCAGGAAGCGGAGCGCGCGAGTTGGAGGGACCCGGGTCCGCCTGGGTTTCGGCGGCCATTCCCACCATTGTCCCCGCGGCTCCCCGCCAGTGGACGCATTATGAAACATTTCCTTCCTCTGTGTCACTGAGCCCCTCCCTCCCTCCTCTTGGATGGAAGAACTGCTCAGCTTTTTCTTCGGGACCTAACGGTGGAAAGGCTCAGCTGTTCTCGCTCCGGTAGCGCGGACGCAGCCTTTCCCACTCCTGATGGGAAGAGGGAGGGGCCCGGAAGGAAGCCGATTTCCTCAAGTCCCCACCGCACACTTTCCAGCCCCAGCGGTCCCGCAGGCCCCTGCGTGGAGAAGCGGGGTCCCTCGAGGTTCCCGCTCGCCTGGCCCCCGCCGCGGGTGAAGGAGGCGGGCAGGCGGGGCGGGAGCCGATCACTTCTCGGATGGGAAGAGAAAGCGCAGTTCCCTGCCTGGGCTCTAGGGAGCTGAACCGAGCCCCGATAACCTCTTCCGGAAGTGTGACCCCGGGTCCGCACACAGAAGGCTCTCAGGCGGCAGAAGGGGGAGACGATGTTGGACGGAGTCGGGGGGAAGGTCCATGCACACGCACTTTAACCTCCAGAGCCTGGGAAGTGTCTCCCGGCCCCTCACCCAGCATGCTTTCTGGGGGTGGGGGGTTTCCCCGAGAAAAATTGGGGCGAAGAGAGAGCAAACCGGCCCTTGGCAGGCTAGGGAGATGGCGAGGAGCGGCGGGGTGTCTTTCTAGAAAACGCTGGGGAGCCGGGGGCTCCGGGGGTAGGGATGGCGAGAGAGGGGGGCCTCGCAGGGCGAGTTCCTGGGCAGGGAAATCTTGGAGAAGGGATTCAGCTTTCCACCCCGATCGTCCCTTCAGGGAACTGCAGCCTAACGAGCGGACTGCGCTCCCGCACCAGAGGGGCGGGTGGTCCGGGAAGCCGGCCGGGCCAGGCGCGGTGGAAGTGAGTACCTCTCCCCGCTGCAGCCCCAGACGCCCGAAGGACTGGTCACAGCGCCCCTCCGGCGTCTTCCGCCCCCAGATGGACGAGCCCGTGGCGCGGAGCCAGCGCGGAGGTCGCCCCCTCCCCCTCCCCGGCCCGGCCCGCCGCGCTGAGCGCAGTCTAGCACCGACTTTAGGGGGCGGTGTCTTCGGGTGGAGCTGCGGCCAAGAGGGAGGAGGAAGGGGGGAGGGGGTGGCGAAGCCTCCTGCAAGCTATAAAAGAGCGGTCCCGAGTGCCCGGTTCTTGCACTCGCAGGAAAGCCGCTCCGAGCCTGTGGCTGTTTCAAAGCCCGGTCGCGCGGTCCGGCCGAGAGGACAGAGCCCGGCTCAGAGCGAGTGGCACCCCGGTCCAGGCGGAAGCCGAAGAGGGGCTCCCGGCGCCGATCTCCGCGTGGCCCAGTGCCTCCGCCCCAGAGGCGTCCCCGGGCGCTTCGGGTCCTCGCAGCAGCCACCCCGCCAGCGCCGGCTGCGCGGTGCCTCCAACTCTGCGCTTCGGAGGAAAACTTCGCGTCCGCAGGCTGCACTGCAGCGCCTCCTCCCAAGTGACCCCGGGAGCCCTGAGTGCGGCTGGTTCTCCGTGAACTTGCAAAGAGTCATAGTAACTGAACTTTAACCATCCGGAGCGAGGCCAGCGAGGCTCTGCACTCCCGATCCAAACAATAGCCTCCTCGCCGGGAGCGCGGCGGCGCGCGGTGCCTCCGGGGGCTCGGGTGCAGCTGGCGGTCCCCGCGGGGTCCCGAAGGCGCACCGCAGGCGGCGACATGGGGAAGGCGGAGCTGGCCAGGTGGTCTCGGGGTCCTCAGCCCGCGTCCGTGCTGCTGCTGCTCGCGGCGGCCGCGGCACTGCTGGTCCTACCGGGCGCGCACGGGCGCCCCGCCGAGGAGGACGAGGAGCTGGTGCTGCCCACAGTGGAGCGCGACCCGGGACACAGGGACACGCACCTCCGCCTGGACGCCTTCGGCCGGCAGCTGAGCCTGGAACTGGAACCGGACCGCGGCTTCCTGGCGCCCGGCTTCACGCTCCAGACCGTGGGACGCAGGCGGGGGTCCGACGCCCCCAGTCCCGACCCGGCCGGCGACCTGGCGCACTGCTTCTACTCCGGCACCGTCAACGGCGATCCCAGCTCCGCCGCGGCCCTGAGCCTGTGCGAGGGCGTGCGCGGCGCCTTCTATCTGCAGGGCGAGGAGTACTTCATCCAGCCCGCGCCCGCCGCCGCCACGGTGCGCCTCGCCCCGGCCGCCGCAGGGGAGGAGCCGCCGACGCGGCCCCAGTTCCATCTCCTGCGGCGGCGGCGGCGGGGCGGCGACGGGGCCAAGTGCGGGGTTATAGACGAGGAGACTCCGCTCGCGAGGGGCGCCGGGCCAGAGGGCGAGGACTCCGGGGCTCAGTTGCGGCCGAGGGACCCCGCGCCGCAGAGCTCGGGGCAGCCAACAGGTATCAGTCTCAGAAGAATGACTCTCACTTCTGTCTCCATTCATCCCCCTCTCCCCACTCTCTCTGCGCGACTCGACTTAAGAGTAGACTCCAGTTTGTAGGCAGGACGGGGACCTGGCAGGGAGCATGAGGCTTGAGGTCCTGCCAGAACACTTAGTTCCGTTGGCCTGAATAATGAATGATCGAGGCAGGACAGACAACCCAATGATTTTCTGCTGACTAAGGCGAAGCATTTAGACCAGGAAGGGAGAGTTGGTCATGCAACTCTTTCCACCTTAGTGGAGTGTGAGCGTGTGCAACTTCTTCCCATGCAGTTCATGTCGCATGGGCTCTTTGGTCGCTTTGCAACTTTGCACTAGTTTTGTAACCGCTGCCTGTGCGCGCGCCCTGTGCGCAGAGGAGGGCGGGGATGGAGGGCACGGGGCCGCTGGTGACCTCGAAATGGGCAGCCCTCGAGACCACACGGCTGCGCTGCGACCTCTGTGCGGCCGCCCTCGGTCCCCTTCCCCATTCAAGAGGCTGACCCCGACGACTAGCGGCGGCCGGGGCTTTCTGCAGAACCGGCTAGGGAGGTCTTTGCCCTTCTGGCCCCGCCTCCCCGCGCCTCCCACCCGGCATCCCAGGTTGCGCTCGCTCCCTCTCGCGGCCATAATTCTGCTCTCTGTTAAACGTTAGTCACCGCTAATCCTGCTTCTCCTTCCCCTGCCTCTCTGTTGTGTGGAGTGCTTACTGTCCAGTTCTTCTCATCCTCTTACTTTGGTGCCTTTGCTCTTCTTTAACTTCCTCGCATGTCTTGTTTGAGAATTTCTCCACTTTCCCCAGCACATCTGCTCCTTGAAGCAGTTATGTGGTTACACAGCCCAGTTCCCTGGGGGCTGAGTTTCAGGAGTTGAAGGGCCCTGGACTAAATCCGAGGCAGGGACTTAATTCCCTGGGGCAGCTGGAGTGGGGCAACAGGCTGCTGGGCAGGGTGGGTGGTCTTTTAGCCTGGATTTGGCAGGAGCAGCGCACCCCAGGGACCCCTGGAATGAGATTGCAGAGCAGTGCAGGCGGAGAGATTCCTGGAGGCCGGCCCCTTGGCAGACGCCCCAGCCCTGCCCTGGGCCTTCCACGTGGAGCCCGATGATCTCATTCAGGATTTGAGCCCTGGCCTGTGAAAGAGTGACTCAGGGCCTCTGCCTGCTGCCCTTGCTCCAAGTTTTTTACTACAGCTGGGGAGGAAGGTGTACATACTGCCTTGTTCTGATGGTAGGATTTGCAGGAGGACAAAAGAAATCCCGCTCATCAAAAAAAATAAAAATTAACAAATACATTTTTTAAAAACAAAGCCTGACCCCTCAGAGGAGCACATGGCCATTTTATTTAAAGCAAAGGAGAAAACTTTAAAAATAACATTTTCGGTGAACGGCGATGCAAATATTTTTGTTATTGTTGCCCTGGGTGTATTTCTGTTTTATTTGCTGTGACTGTTTAGACTTTCCTTATATACTCTGGGGAGGTGATTATTCTCGGCTAGACTGCCCCTGAGCAAACTCTCTTTCTTATTCCTTTCCAGGAAGTGGGAGCGTGAGAAAGAAGCGATTTGTGTCCAGCCCCCGTTATGTGGAAACCATGCTGGTGGCTGACCAGTCCATGGCAGAGTTCCACGGCAGTGGCCTCAAGAACTACCTCCTCACCTTGTTCTCGGTGGCCGCCAGGTTGTACAAGCACCCCAGCATTCGCAATTCGGTAAGCCTGGTGGTCGTGAAGATCCTGGTCATCTATGAGGAGCAAAAGGGACCAGAAGTGACTTCCAACGCGGCCCTCACTCTGCGCAACTTCTGCAACTGGCAGAAGCAGCACAACCCGCCCAGTGACCGAGATGCCGAGCACTACGACACGGCGATTCTTTTCACCAGGCAGGTGAGAGGAAGACAGGGCTAAGTATGACAGGGTCCCCTGGGGAGTCCACTTGGTGACAAATGTCGGTAAGGCATGTCACCAGCTTTCGGCACTTGCATTTTTTTAATGGGCTAGCGTGGTCAGTCCATCTCCTAATTTCTTCTACGATTTTAATAGCTCAAGTTGCACAGTCCTGTTTGAATAGCATTAGGAAGAAATACTGATGCAAGTCACACAGAGTACCCCTAAAAGGACAGCTCAGCAACAATGAATGTAGATGCTCCAAGATATATGTGAAGATACACCTTGCCCCGACAGATCCCAAAGTTCATGGGATGTCCCTATTAATCAGGAGGTACCTTTGTCCTTGTAGGACCTGTGTGGCACCCAGACATGTGACACCCTCGGGATGGCTGATGTTGGAACTGTCTGTGACCCCAGCAGAAGCTGCTCTGTCATAGAAGATGATGGCTTACAAGCTGCCTTCACCACAGCCCATGAATTAGGTGAGTCTGTTTTAGAGTAAGAGCTAAGCTCAGTTTGTGAATGCAAACTGCAAAACAAGATATTAATTTGAAAGAGAGAGAGTCTGTAGGTTATATTGCTGTGTTAGGTGCCAGGGCTTTCTAGAAATTGCAGAAAATATGTTTTAATTGGTCTACACATGATCATCTTTATGAGAATACCAATCAGATCATTGGAGCTATGGACATTTGGAGATTGTACATGTTGGTTTACACTCTGTAAAATGTAGACATTGTCTCCAAAATAGGTGTTCTTTTCTCTAGAAATATCCCTATTTGGAATAAAATGCTGCACATTAACCTATGTTTTAACGTGAGTTTCGGATTGCTTCTTAGGCCACGTGTTTAACATGCCACACGATGATGCGAAGCAATGTGCCAGCATTAATGTCAACCGGGATTCCCACTTGATGGCGTCCATGCTTTCCAACTTGGACCGCAGCCAGCCCTGGTCTCCCTGCAGCGCCTACATGATTACCTCATTTCTGGATAACGGTCATGGTAAGACGCTCCAACTACTCTTTCCACATGGCATCCAACCTCCCGTATGTAAAGTTCTCATTAAACAGGCTCATTTTTTCTTTTTTTGTTCTTGATATTTTCCTTGAAGATTACTTTCACTGCCAAGCGCATGCCTTTTTAGATCTTAATTCCAATAAAAGATACATGAATTTGAATTTTTAGCAGAACAGTCATTTCCTGTCATTGTTAATGCAGAAATACCCCAGTGAGGATAATATCTTCATTTCAGTTTATCTTCATTTAAATTTCTCTGGCATCTTCTCCAAAAGTTTGACAGCTTTCAACTAGCTTTGCTATATATTATCTCTTATGATACATATTTGCTGGAATTGATCTACCCCCTACATGCTTTCATTTATTATTTATTAATAGTAGTTAATAATTGGTTTTTTCTTTATTTTGTTTTTGCAGGGGAATGTTTGCTGGACAAGCCCCAGAGCCCCATGCAGCTCCCCTCTGACCTTCCTGGGACCTTGTATGATGCCAACCGGCAGTGCCAATTTACGTTTGGGGAAGACTCCAAACACTGCCCCGATGCAGCCAGCACGTGCACCACCCTCTGGTGCACGGGCACCTCCGGGGGGCTGCTGGTGTGCCAAACCAAACACTTCCCTTGGGCGGACGGCACCAGCTGTGGCGAAGGGAAATGGTGTGTCAACGGCAAGTGTGTGAACAAGACCGACAAGAAGCATTTTGATGTGAGTTTCCTACTCATGCGCATGCTCCTTTCAAATTCGGAATCGAATAGAGTGATGCCAAAGTGTCTGATGGCACGTTAAACACCCCAACTCTGTTCTCGGGCCGGGAAGATCGATTCTTTTTGTAATTGATTCTTTATCTCGTATTTTTCTCTTTTATTCCCTAAGAAGGTCTCTGTAGAGAATTCTAATCTGATGACTTGTGTCCCCATGTAGACACCTGTTCATGGAAGCTGGGGGCCATGGGGACCCTGGGGAGATTGCTCGAGAACCTGTGGTGGAGGCGTTCAGTACACAATGAGGGAATGTGACAACCCAGTCCCCAAGAACGGAGGGAAGTACTGTGAAGGCAAGCGAGTGCGCTACAGATCATGTAACATTGAGGACTGTCCAGACAACAACGGTGAGTGAAAATGGGTGAAAAAGCCGTGCCCCCCAAGAGGCAGTGAAGGGATGGAGTCTGATAATGCCGTTCTATCCTTCTCTTTCCAGGCAAAACCTTTAGAGAGGAGCAGTGTGAGGCACACAACGAGTTCTCCAAAGCTTCCTTTGGGAGTGGGCCCGCAGTGGAGTGGACACCCAAGTACGCTGGGGTCTCCCCAAAGGACAGGTGCAAGCTCATCTGTCAAGCCAAAGGCATTGGCTACTTCTTCGTTCTGCAGCCCAAGGTAGTAACTTTTCCACTTACTTTTTGTCTAAGACCCAAGGCCTTGGCTCGCTACCTTTTCATGCAACCCATAGGCACTTTCTTTAATTTGTATATTAATATGTTCAATTTCAAATTAGACTTCATTTTCTTCGGCATACCTCAGCCAGATTTGTTTGGTATTGTTTAGAGCAGGGGTCCTCAAAGGACGGCCCACGAGCCACATGCAAATACAAATATTGTATTTATTCCCGTTTTGTTTTTTTACTTCAAAATAAGATATGTGCAGTGTGCATAGGAATTTGTTCATAGTTTTTTTTTTAAACTATAGTCCGTTCCTCCAACGGTCTGAGGGACAGTGAACTGGCCCCCTGTTTAAAAAGTTTGAGGACCCCTGGTTTAGAGTGATGAATGAAGCTGAATTTAGCACTGAGGATTCTTGCAATTTCTTATTATTCTTATAAACAAGATCCCTTTACTAGGCTAGATCAATGATGTATTAGCATGGCAGACAACCAGTAGTTTTGGAAAATAGCCCAGGCATGGTCCAAAGTACTTGTTACTGGTTGACTGGCAGGAGCATGTGCAAACAGACTTATTAAAATGGAAGTCTGAGCTTTGATACCTTTTGTGTTTAAGAACATATATGGAACTAGCAAAAGCATCATATTACTGTTGGACTGAGGGGATAAACTGGCTGAGGTAGAATGTGGTATTGAATTTGGTTGAAATCTCATGTGTCATTATCACTGTAGGCCATAAAAATATTCCCCACTTGCAAATTCAATATTTAGTAAGTGATTTGTTCAGCACCTACTTATTCAGGCATTATCCTGAGGATACAGCCATGAAAAATTGACAAAAAAATCTGCTTTCATTGATCTTAGGTAGAAGTAAGATAGGTCAATAAACAAATAATAAAAAATGTGTGATTTTTTTCAGATGTCTGTATGTACTATGGGGAAAAAAGACAGAGAAGGGTAGTATATGGCATGTATAGAGCACCGTTTTATTGCAATGGTCAGGAAATCAGAGATGTGATGTTAATGAGGGAAACTTTTGTAGTTACAGCTCCATGTCGGCCCTGGTTAGTGTGTGACACCAGATACCTGTTCTTCCTTTCTCAGGTGGTAGATGGTACTCCATGCAGCCCCGACTCCACCTCTGTGTGCGTGCAAGGACAGTGTGTAAAAGCTGGCTGTGATCGCATCATAGACTCCAAAAAGAAATTTGACAAATGTGGCATTTGTGGAGGAAATGGATCCACATGCAAGAAAATATCAGGATCGGCTACCAGTTCAAAGTAAGTTTGAAAATGCCGTACTCCCAAAGATCCTATCATTTAGATGTTCCTTTGTACAGGTCTGGTAAAAATTGTCTTCTAAATGATTAGCTAAGCCAGTGGTCGGCAAACCGCGGCTCGAGAGCCACATGCGGCTCTTTGGCCCCTTGAGTGTGGCTCTTCTACAAAATACCACGTGCGGGCACACACGTACAGGGCGATTGAAACTTCATGGCCCATGCACAGAAGTTGGTTTTCGGAAAGGAGATAGACGAAACAAGTATACAAGACGAGTGTGGATGGGAGAGTTGGAAGGGGTCGACCTCAGCGAACGTACCTCAATCAGACTGAGGACGTTTTTAGCAAAGGCCAGCTAAGGAGTACCCTAATGAAGTTAATAACAATGTACCTACCGATATAGTTTAAGTTTAAAAAATTTGGCTCTCAAAAGAAATTTCAATCGTTGTACTGTTGATATTTGGCTCTGTTGACTAATGAGTTTGCCGACCACTGAGCTAAGCCGTATAAATAGCCAGTGAATGAGCAATCTTTCTATCTGCTCTTCTTGCCTGCAGTCCTGGCTATCATGACATCGTCACCATCCCGGCGGGAGCCACAAACATTGAAGTGAAACAACGGAACCAGAGGGGATCCAGAAACACTGGCAGCTTCCTGGCCATCAAAGCCGCCGATGGCACATACATCCTGAACGGCGACTTCACCCTGTCCACCTTAGAGCAGGACATCACGTACAAGGGCACGGCCTTGAGGTACAGCGGCTCCTCTGCGGCGCTGGAAAGAATCCGCAGCTTCAGCCCCCTCAAGGAGCCCTTGACCATCCAGGTCCTCACAGTGGGCAATGCCCTCAGGCCGAAAATTAAATACACCTATTTCGTGAAGAAGAAGAAGGAGCCTTTCAATGCCATCCCTACCTTCTCAGAGTGGGTCATCGAAGAGTGGGGCGAATGCTCCAAGTCCTGTGGGCAGGGGGTGCAGAGGAGACGGGTGGAGTGCCGAGACCTCAACGGGCAGCCTGCCTCGGAGTGTGCCAAGGAAGTGAAGCCAGCCAGCACCCGCCCCTGCGCGGACCTGCCCTGCCCCCACTGGCAGCTGGGGGACTGGTCCCCCTGTTCCAAGACTTGTGGGAAGGGCTACAAAAAGAGGACCTTGCAGTGTCTGGCCCACGATGGGGGGGTGCTGGCCCACGAGAGCTGCGATCCTTTAAAGAAGCCTAAACATTACATAGACTTTTGCACCATGGCGGAGTGCAGCTAAGCGGGCTGAGTGTGGAGGGGAAGAGGAGGTGAGGAAGGGCTGAGGCACTGAAATCAAGAAGGCTGGAGGGATCCAGTAGACCTTGCTGGTGATGTTACAATCCCTGTTCCCTGGTACTGATTCAATACGTGGTGTCCTGGGGGTTGGGGAAGGCAAAGCAAGAGAACAATGAGATTCTTAGCTTAAGGTGTGGCTTACTTTATGTCACTCGCAATGGAGGGAGAAAGGAGTCCAAAGAGGAGCTTTGACCAGCACTGTTTATGACTGCGATGGTTTCAGAGAATGTTTATGTCATCTTTTCTACCGAGAGTTAAGAATTGAAGAATGTCCACCATGGAGAAAACAGTTGAGCATGTCCAGTGACTCCATCATTACCTTTTTTTGCCATTCTCCCGTCTTTGTACATTTATTTTGACCAAGAAACAAGTCCTGTGTTTGTAAAAATGCACTGAGTCTCCAAGGGGAAAACAGCAGCGATGTATCGGGTGCTGGTAAATCCAGAGGAGGCACCCCCAGCTCGGTACCTCCCACCTTCCTTCCCTCCTTGTGTAAGCCTACCTTAGGAATGTGCATGTGAAAAACCAGTCTGAGTCTCAAGAAAGTCAGCGAGATCACGCAAACAAGGAAGTAATGCCAGAACAAGAAAGGGGTGAGCCCAACAGGGTCCCCAGTGTTTGGGGACAGTGAGGTCCTTTGTCTCATGATGGGGAGGCTACTGAGGGGTAGCAGGTCCATCCCCAGCAGCTGGTCCAGCAGTCATATCCTGGTGAATGTCTGTTCAGCTCTTCTACTATGAAAGAGGATGACTTTTTCCATGTGTATATAGTAAAATATGTTACTATAAATTCTATGTACTTTATAAGTATTGGTTTGTGTGTTCCTTCTGAGAAGGACTATAGTATGTAACAAATGCCTATTATAACATATTTATTTTTATACATTTCTTTTTAATGATAAAACTCTTAAGTTATACCGTGATTGTAAAAGGGCATATAAAAGATAGAGTATTTATACAATATATGTTACTAGAAATAATAAAAGAACACTTTTCGAATATGTGTGTATTTTTTTTTAAAGTGGGAATTTATTTCTAGGAAGGAAATCCGAGACTTAAATACTGAATTTGAAGAACGGATATTTTCTTAAATTCTTTGGAAATGAGATTTCATTCTAATGAAATGTATTTTATATATCCTGGATTGTGTGATTGTTGCAAAGAAAGGAAGCTATGGTATCTTTGGTGGTAGGTTTGTTACTCATGTATAATATATACAAATGATTGGCAGACTTTTTCTGTAAAAGAGCCAGATCATAAATACTTTTGGCTTTGTGGCCCATACCATCTCTGTCCCAACTACTTCAATGTGCTGTTGTAGCATGAAGACAGCCATGGGCAATACATAAATGAATGGGTATGGCAGTGTTCTAATAAAATTTTATTTACAAAAACAGGCAGTGGGCCAAATTTGTTCTTTGGGTATAGTTTGCTGACCTCTGATGTATACCATAAATAAAGTGGGAAAAGATGGGATTCTGGAAGTATTTGGAATTCATATGTCTTCCTCAACTATATCACATGATGTTATATGAAAGTACTTAACTACTGAGTAGAAAACGGTGCCTTAAATTACATGAATAGACATGCATGGTAAGTGGAGCCCGCCAATGTCCCACTTTCTCATCAGAAATACCTGAGGTGTAGTAGAGACACCCTGGAACACCCATGACACTCCGGGTAGACTTTTGTGAATGACTGTATTCTAGGTACTAAATGGTACATCAATTGTTTTAAAAGTATAGACTTCTTCCAAAGTACCTACCTTTCTCCCAGGAAATAGTTGATGCACTAGAAGACTTGGATTATAGGGTTAGCCACATACACTTCCAACTTCACACTTTCATCTTTCTCTTCACCGTCCTTCAAATAGTCTCCTCAAATAGTTCTATGTGACTTGCTAACTTCAGTTTCAGAGGATAACTCGCCCTTCAGAATTACGCAGTGTTCGTCCTCTGAGCAACTGAATGTAAGCTTCTTTGGAGCCAGGTGTATAAGTCAGATAGCGAGCAGGGGAAGGGAGAGTCAGGATAGTCTCTGGTTTCATATTTTACTACTTCCTGGGCCGCTGAACCGAAAAGTAAAAGTTGAGTCTTTTCACACTGGGAACTATGTGGTCCCATAGAATTCCGTTAGCCATCGGATTTGGCCATGTGTTTAATCACCAGTGGCCTAAGGTGATGTCTACCACAATTACGTTTTTGCTTAACATTACTATGGTACTCAGTAAGCGATGTGCCCTCACCCTCAATCACTATACAAGCTATTTGATAAAATGAGATAAATATACCTAAAATGATAACCCACAATATAAAGAAGTCATCTTCAGATCTGGGCCAGTTCACTGATGAGTTAATGTTTCTTTGAAAAGGCTCACATTGATTTGACATAGTCAGCAAGGAGACTGAAGTTCAGGACACAAAGAGATAAAAACAGTCAAAAGGTTTTCCATTGTTCTCTGTATATTCAATGCCAAACAACTTTTTAAGTCACCACCTTATGTTTTTAGCCCTTTGCTGATGAGATTGTTCTATTATCAATAAACCGAGCAGTTTAAAATATTGACAGCAAAAAGTTTAGTTCAAAACACATCTGGTTTTGTGAGATTGATCAGGAACCTGCTTAAAAAGATGAAATATTTTGTGCTCACTCATGGTACAGATATAAATGATGAGCTGGCATAATGTTGAATATTAATTAAAATACTCAATTTGGAAAGCACTCAATAGGCACTTTCTCTAGCATTCCAACTACAAGCAAAATTTTTGAATCAAAGCTTTCATGCAAAAATGGACAAAAATCGTTCCAAATTTTTGCTCCTTATTTAATCTGCCTTTAGAAGAGGTCTTTAAATGACTTAGGAATAATAAACAACACCCACAATTTGCTAATCTCATTGGTTTTTTTAAATGAAAGAAAAGCAAAAATTATTAATGCAAAAGTGGGGGTGCTAGATCTATCAAGAAAATTGACCAAAGGTATCTCAGTATAAAGCATAGTCTGTCCTGCCAGACACAGACTTTTGTGACATGAATGAGCTCAAATGATATTGGCAGAAATGCAAACAGTAAAACATGGAAGATGCTTTGGTTTATCAACAAAATCATAACTGAAGGATAGAAATTTCTTATATTTGGAGTTATCAAAGGACGTCATTTCATTTTTTAATTTGGTAATTAGGTAATATAAATGAATAATACTTCTTAGAAGCAAATACCCAAACATATCTCTTCATAGAGAGAGGATGTATGTAATATTTGATCCATAAAGAAAATAATGGAAAGCAAAAAATAAAGTGACCGAATTACAACCACATTATCCTGACAATACATTGTTAAACTTTCCTATTCAAAGACAAATACCTTCAGGATGTGCTTAAAAATAAAATCCAATAACATGATAAATGAAAGGGAACTATTTAAATCAAAATGACATTTCTTCAAAGAAGTGCAAAGATTTATCAGGCAAACAGTAGAAAAAAAGTTGGAATAAAATGATATCAGCCAAAATTATACTGAAGATGGAAAAACACTAAGCAAAATAAAAAATGACATTTCTTGTGAATTAAAAGTAGAATCTACAATAAAATATCTGTCCAAGATAGTAGAACATCTATGTATTGATTTAAAATTGTTAAAAATGCAAAGGATAATCAACAGGTAAGAACGATTCTATTTGTCTTTAATACCTCTCTCTAGGTAAGGGCAAACCAAATATGTAAAAAAAAAAAGTGCAAAACTTTACAAAGACATAAAAGAAGACTTGATTAAAGCAAGAGGCATACAAATTTCTTTAAGTCACAAACCTTTTTATTTTGTCCTAAAATGAGTAGATATAATGATTCCAAGCATTAGCCATTCATACATTTTTGGAACTTGATAGCATGATTCTAAAATTCATCTGAGGAAATCAATTTGGTGAAGATAAGAGAAACACAACTATAAACAAAGTGCAATGTAAGATATTTGCTTGACCTGATTTGAAAATGTACCATAAAATTGCAATTAGAAAGAAGTGGTACTTGTCTAATTATTGACAAGCAAATCTATGGGTGAAAAAAGCTTTGAAATAAAGCTTTAGCAACCATAACCAAATATATATATGATGAAGTTAGAAACATAAATCTGTGATCAAAAAAGATCATCCCAAACATAGCCTTAAATGAAAAAATAAAATGTGTTTGGGGGAAAAAATTAGAGCCTTCTTCAGACCATTCAGCAACTTAAATTTCAGTTACATAAAAAATTAAAACATTTAAATGGAAACCCTAAGAAGTACTAGTAAATATATAGAAATAGTTATTACTGGATGAGGAAGGAGATCTGAACATAGAAGCAATAAAAGATTACACAACCAAGACAAACACACACAATGGATTGATTTGATTGGCTTAAATCTTTATATTCTGTGTTTAAGAAGAATCCGTTAGAAAATATGAAAAAAAAAACATTTAAGATATGATATATATTTTTGCCCTTTTCTACTCTTTTACATGGTTTTTTTTAGAATAAATGTATTTAAAGTACACATACTTAAAGACACTAAAACACTCTCTAAAACATGCAAGAGTAAATCATGTGATAACTGAAAGAAAAAGAAAGGGAGAGACAGAAAGGAGGAAAGAAAGGGAAAAATCATATTTGTACTTGTAGCGATAAGATATAAAGCAATTAAGTAAATTCTTTTTTGTTATAAGTGACAAATATATCAATTTTTTAAAGAAGCTTGATTTAAATATTATCATAGGCTATTAAAAAATTCACTGTTTCATATATAGGCTTCTAGAACTTTTATTTTGCACCAAGAAGAAAATTAAGTAGAGGGAATGAAAATGGGACTGCCATATTTTGCTTGCCTGTATCCAGAATTCAATCATTTTTTTTCTTTAATCCTCACCCGAGGATATTTTTATTGATTTTAGAGAGGAAGGGAGGAAAGAGAGAGAGATAGGATATGCCTATCTGCAACCTAGATATATGCCTTGACAGGAACTGAACTTGCAACCTTTTGGTGTATAGGATGATGCTCCAACTAACTCAACCACCTGGTCATGTCTAGAATTCCATTTTAATGGTTAAAAAACCAAACAAACAAAAAACTCTCTTATGGCTACATGAAGTATATACCAAAGAATGATAGCTAGATAGATAGATAAGTAGATAAGTAGATAGATAGATAGACATTATATATATATATATATATATATATATATATATATATAATGTAAATCTGAGTGAAGATGAAGAGACAGAATTAATATGAAGGCACTTAGAGGATTCTTAGTTCCCATAGCTGAGGGAGGCAGGCCCATTGCTGAAGCAGGAATGAGGGGCAGGCCCTGATAGAGGCCACACTTGACAACCTTGAAGTTGAAGATGAGGGAGCTCAGTGAAAGATGAAATGAATGGGCCAGGATCAAAGATCTCTGATTTCTATCTAAAGCTCTTCACCAGATGGGTTAGATTAGTTGTGTTCAGAGTTTCTCTCCTTTTTTCTTCGATAAAGTGGGCTAAGGGCTTAGCGGGTCTCTGCAGTGTTCCATAAAAAGAGAGAAGTACCCCAAATAAAGAACGCAGCAGCTGAGCAATGCCTGCAGGGAGGGGCATGACAATGTCTTTCTGACTTTTCACTTATTTCAAGTTGGTTTCCTCAGTTCTGAATCTTCCAGAATCTTTCACCTTCAACATTTTCACCCAAGATGTTAAGGAGAATAGGAGTAACAGGCTTGGCTTGTCTCAGCGCAAACCAGAGGTATTGATAAAACAGGACATATTCAAAGGATACTTGAGGGGAAAGGGAAGAAGAGCAGGGCATACACCGCACCATTGTCATCTTGATAAACAAATTCTGAACAAATGGCAGTTGGCTGGACGCCTTCATTTCGAACAATGAAGACCCATAATCACAAAATCTAGATCTCCAAGTCTTTGGGCAGGGTCCTCTGCTCTTAAAGATCCATAGAGATATTATCTACTTATCAAAGTACAAGATATTCTGGAATGTTATTTATACCATTAGGATAATTTCTTGTAGAAGTGGGATATTAGTTAAACCCTGTACTTTTCTAACTAAAACACTTTTGCACTCATACCAGTACTCTAATACTCTGCATTGTTAATACCCTCTGATAGAATTTCCTCATATGGACCTTCAACCTGACTTTCATTTGGAGCTCAGAATTTAAGACAGAGCTATACCAGATTGCTAAAGAAATCAGAATATCCTGTTTGCCCCTGGCCTAGGCTCTCCCGTTTTCCTTTCTTAAAACAAAAGCCATTTACCAAAAGCCATCACAGCTAGAATTGCATTTTTTTTTCTTTGACAATCATGTGCGTGTGAAACATTTACAAGATTAAAATGTAAACAAAGCTGAATGCCTGGAAAAGCTTTTTAT